GCTGTGGTTTGAAGGGTTGGACTTTGCCCCCGAGCCTGCGCTGGGTATAGCGAAAGGTTCCAACTCACTGGCCGGCTCAGAGGTCAAGCAAGATCTGCGTGCCCGGCATCTGCCCGAGGTAGTGCCAAACCGACGTCTGAGACACTGAACAAAGGTCTAGTTGAATCTGATGGAAGTTGGGTGCCTTGGGTGCCTCGGCGCGCATCACGCCTAGCCCGAGACAGCGGCATGCCTGAGCCAAGGAGATCGAGCTTCCCCGGTCAAACACAAGGGGGGGCCTTGTGGTGATCTGAACGCTGCCTTTGGCTCGGGAGAGGTAATCCACCAAATTTCTCTCCAGCCCGTGGTGGGTGGCTGGTCGTGCACCCTTCATCTCTCCCGCCGCCTTGAGCTTCTTGGTCCGAACCCAGCAGTCGGCACACTCCTCCTCGTTCACGAAGTTCACGATTGCCAGCGTGGACCAAGGGAGGTGAACGAAGTTGTATGGGCAACTCTTGGAGAAGTCATACCCACACACCGCATTGAAACGCACAAGGAACTCTTGCTGCGTCATTTTGCGGCGAAGCTTGAACATGAGAGCTGTGCACGATGGCGGCAAGGCCTCATCCCAGTTGCTGGAGGACATGGCCAATCTTTCTGCTTTTCTGTCAGCTCAGGCTAGTCCCAAGACAAAAAGCGGCGCTGGCAGTCAGACACTTTCAAGCCAGTGCGCTCAATTGCCTCTTTGAAACTCCTGCGCATATTTGAGGATCCCTGGGATGTCCGCTGACAGTAGTCTTTCTCGCCAAGGATGTCTTTAACAAGGGGAGTTGAGGGTTGCGGGAATGGGGTGGCAGAAAGGTTTCCACACACTTCGGCGAGTTGTAAGATCACAAACATCGCTTGTAGGGCAAATGGCAAAGCCACACGACAAACGGTCATTGTTGGTGCCTACTTGCCCATATAGATCAGACTCAACATTTCTTGTCTGGTGTGTGTGTGTGTGTTCACGGGGCTTCATCCATGCGAACTAGAGCAGGAGATTTGTCACGTGACCAAAAAACACCCAAGTCCCATTTGAGACCAACCTTGAGGCTGGGAGCAAACTCGTCGGTATGTCCCAAAATTGGGTCCCGAATTGTCGGTCAAAAACTTGGAGTGGAGATTGATGAAAAGCTGCTCAACCATAAACAGGCACAGAAATCAACGCCCTTGGACTGCCCAAAAAGTGGTGCTCTGGTCATTGCCCCCGTGTTCTTGCATTGAAGTTGCTGGGTGATCTACAATTGCAAGTTGGCTTCTGAGGGGGTTAATTGAAGGGGACAACCCTCCAAGGAAAAGAAGAACAGGAAACCCCCAGAGGTCTCAAATATACAAACTCCAAGGAAACGCTGAAGTTGTTGCAACTCCTTGTGCCCAATCAAAGGGGTTGTCTTAGGGCCGCTTTAGAAGACCGTCGGAAAGGGCCGTTCGTGGTTGCTGTTTTTGATGAAGCCAGCAGGACTCGTGTCAACTTTCAGTCTTTAGTGGTCAGGGTTGTATTTAAGGAAGAGGGGGTCGTCCTAAGGGCGGCCCTCCGCGCAAGTACACTCATCCGCTTGCGACGACATGAACCCAACATGGCCGCAAGTGCCTTAAATTAGGCTCGCTGACCTAACAAAGAGGCACATATCGCCCATTGACCTTGGGATCTGTTGAAGGGGTTGTCACACCAACAGCTTGCACGCATTGTTTTCCGTCCTTACGCGGGACTATTGTTTGCGCAAATGTCAAGACACGCGGTTCGAGAACAATCAAACTATGAAAGCACTTGTGTTTGTTGCTTACCGACTTTGTGTCGCGACAGTCCCGACCCCTCCCCCCCCGCCGGCCGTAGACAAAAACTTGTTTTTGTAAACAGCCTGGCTGTGGGTTGGGGAGAAGGTCCGGGACGCCTTAAATACTCCCCCCCCCCCCGCCCAGAACTTAAGGAATTGTGCCGGGAGGGGGGGGGGGGGGAAATCCTGAAATACACCCCCGCTGAATTTTAGGATTTTCCACCCACCCCCACATTCCCGTGCCACCCAAAATTCAGAGATGGGGAAGGGGGTGTATTTAAGGATTTTTGCCGCTCCCCCCCCCCCCCACCCCCCACACAATTGCTTAAATTCGGGGGGGGGGCGGGGTGTATTTTTTCCCCCCCCCCCCCCTTCCCACGCAATTCCTTCAATTTGTGGGGGGGGGGGGGTGCGTTTAAGGATGCTTGGTATTTGAGCATTCCTGGACCTCCTACCCGACCCACAGCCAACCCACAGCCAGGCTGCTTACAAAAAACAGTTTTTGTATACGGCCGGTGGGGGGGGGGACTGTCGGGACACAAAGTCGGTCAGCAAAACAACATGTGGTTTGATAGTGTTCTTGCCCTCGATCGGCGTGTCTTCACATTTGCGCAAACAATAGTCCCGTGCAAGGAAAAACAAAGTGCGTGTAAGCTGACATACATAAATTTTTTATATATACATATGTGCCCAATGGCAAATGGGTCAATTGTCAATTTAAATGTCCCGACAGCCTCACGGCATGATTTCAACAGAAATGACCTGAACCGCTTTTGGCAGGACCTTAAACGCAACCCCCCCTAATAAGCAACCCTAATACTGAAAGTTAACAACTCGCCCCATGTTTGGGCTTCAATTTGCAATAAACCCGAATGAGTTGAAATACACACCCGGTATTAACTTGGTCTACCCAAAAGTAACCTGGAAAATAATTCAATGGGCGTTGACTTCTGTCCATGTTTATGGTTGAGCGCTTTGGTGAAATCTTCACTCCAAGCTTTGATCGGCGCTCAAATTGGTTGGGAACATGTGTATATATATATAGAGAGAGAGAGAGCGTCCCCTCATGGGGGGTGGGTTTTTGAAACCCATAAGATTCACCAATTTCAACCCCACGGGCAATGCACTTTTAGTGCTGTGGACCTTGGATGTTGTGCCCAAATCGCTTGTCTGTTTCAACAGGCTTCATCAAACAATTGGACCTTGAACAGGGCCCATAATTGCTTGTCAATTGCACTATCAGACAGTGTTGAAGGACAGGCCAGTCGCCAAAAGTGTCTTGTCTATTACCAGTGTAGCTGCAATTCTCTTAGCATCTTTCTTGTCATTCCTGTTGCAGTGTGTAGCATTAGAACTGAATTAGAATTCAAATAGAACCCTATATGATTATGGAAAGACAAGTTGGTCGTTTATTCTGAATTGCCTGCCCCATAAAAGGAGAGACCAACCAATAGAAACTCAAAGGAAATGCAACGTCATATTTTTTGGTTTTAGATTGCACCGCTTTAGGTTGAATCAAATCTTGATTAGCCTTCAAGTTAACACAGTATGTTGAATTAGAATTTAAATAGGTGTCCCTTCCCAAGTAGGATTTTAATCGGGAATCTGCTGAAGAAAGAGAAGCTTGTTGTTTCTTCTAATTTGCAATGCAAGCCTCTGAAAAAAGCTCGGAAAGCCCATGGCAAAAAGCTGATTGCATTGCAATTTGTTTGCAAGGTTTACATTGCGAGGAATTACTTACATTCAAATTGGATTTCGATCAGACTTCACTTCATGCTCTCGAATTAGATATTAGTCAGCACTTTCCTTCCAAGCAATGGTTCCGATTAGAAGGGTAACTGTTAGTTTTAGATGTGTGTCATGGGGTCGTATCCAAATATTATATATTTGCTTTATTATTCTTAATTGAGTACATTGTAAACAGGAATTTCATCCAAATCTGAATGGGATTTTCTTTCCAAATATGATCTTTGTTTGACATGTTTATTGCTAGAATTTAGTAAGGAAAGACAAGCTGGTAGTTTCTTCTAACTGATTCAATTTGTGTTACTGTTTTGAACCAGAATAAAGATGGATTTCCTTTCCAAGTATCTAAGACTGTAATTGGATTTTAGCTGTAATCTGGATAATATGGCAAGGAAAGACAAGCTGGCTACTTCTTTCAATTCATATGAATAGAATTCGGTTGCACTTAGCAAGTGAAATGCCCAGGCCGCGATGGCAAATGTTTCCTTCTTGCGGATATTTGTTTCTTCTTGCTGACCCCAACCTCAAAACCAAGCAAACCTCGAGAAACCCCAAAAAAACAAAAACAACATTTCAGACCTTATGTATCCTTGCTGGCTGAGGTAGGGTCTGACAGTTCGGTTTTGTTTGCTCGAGGCCATTTCATTTTAACAAGTGCAAAAAACTCGAGAACACAAAAACAACTAAAATATCAGACCCTATGTATCCATGTTGGCTGAGTTAGGATCTGACATTTTGTGTTTTGTTGTTCTTGGTTTTTATCGAGTTTGTTTTTTGTTTAATGTGCAAAAAACCTCGAGAACACAACAAAACAAAAATCTGAGACCCTATGTATCCATGTTGACTGAGTTAGGGTCTGACATTCCATGTTGACTGAGTTAGGGTCTGACAGTTTGGCATTTTTGTTTGGTTTTCTCGAGGCCTTTTTGGGTTTTTTGGAAAAGCGCAAAGGAAACATACGCAAAACAACTGCGAAATCCCTGTGTGTCCAAATACCCACCCCCCATCAGGGGCCCTTCTGTACGTACATATAAATATATTATATATATATATATATGTATGTATGTGTATATATATATATAACATTTATACATACATTTTACTCTTTGAGCCGTTTGGAGCGTACATTTGATTAACTATTGCACACTTGGAGTGTGTGCGCTTAAGCAACTGGATTTGTTCTATGCTTTCCGGATGTCTTGATGGCCAACGCAGCACTAAGCCAAGCAAGCGAAACAACACCCACCCAAGAGCAACGCAAACGACACAAGCAGCACCACTACCTCAAGCACCCCAAACCATGGCACAAATCCGGCTACGCAGAAAAAAACCTCGCAGATTCTGGCCCATATTTGGTCTCCCCCGGAAACCACCATGGGTTCCAAAGCTCACAAGACGCCAAGCAGGTTGCTCAAACGGTGCCATCGCCCCAACGCCCCAACGTCTCGACGCCCACGCCTTGTGGAGCACGTGTCAAAGGGGCACGCCCTGCGCAAACCAAGCTGCCCCCAGCCCGCAAATGGTGGACACATGGGGTCGATTGTGCATTTTGCATCCGCGGAGGTTGACAACGCGCCATTTTGCAACGTCCCTACTTAGGCTAGTATTGTTTTGTTAGGGTCCAGGCCTGCAAGATCGTCGCTAAGTGTCCAGCCCTGGGTGTGTGTGTGTGGATAAACTGTTTGGACGGGGATTCCAATCCCTTCAAGTTGTTGCTTGCGAAATGGTTGGCCAGCCTAGGCAAGCCCAAGCCACTGCTCAATGGTAGCAAATCAACATCTTTCCAGGGGTTGACTCTCCATTCTTTTCAACCATCGTTTTTTTTCTTCAAAAACCGGATCCGTTTTTCCTGGGATTCCAGAGGTGCTCTAGCAAGTAAGATCCCTGGAAAGAATGGGAAGGTACCGGTAGAATCGAGGCTTGTTGATTTGGGCTCAAACAACTACCAGCGTTGAGTCACTGGCGCAAGGGTCCGACACAAGAAACTCCATAACAAATCTGCCAGGCCGTGTGAGCCTCAACATCTTTGAGCCCCCACTCAGCTGAGATTTCTCTCCTGTGGCACTCCTCCCTCTCTCCTCAAACCTGAGCGGATTTGCAACAAGATGCACGTTTTTTTGTTTCTTTAATTTACAACTAAAGTGGTCCTCTGAAAGGAATATTAGGATATGAACTCGGGAAGCAAGTCTCTGACATGTGCGCAACCAGCACGGGAAGCTCCCACAACTAATGAACTCCTCAGAGACGGGTAGACCCAAGCAAACCCTAGCCGCGGCTTTGTCCTCGACATGCTCCGTGTTCCGAGGACCTGGACATGGAGACCGCGCCTTTTTTCGCTGGTTATTGGATCAGGTGTTGAAAGCAATAGATTGTAGACAGCTCGACCGCGGATCTCGCGGGCGTCTGCCTGATGCTTATGCACTGTGAGTATCTACGTCTGGGCTGTCTCTGAAGCTTCCTTTGACGGCTTGGACTCGATTGTTCTGCCTCATGCAACCACATTGTTGAGCAATGTCGCATTCCGATGTGTACAGATTTCAAAGAAGTCTCAAAGGGCCTGAATTTGACTCAGGCTGTGTGTTCAAGCAATCATTTCTCCAGACTCCAGAGTCATCCATGGGCACATGAAGGGCATGCAATATGTGGAATAGATTGAGGAACAAAAACGCGCAAAGGCAACATTGTCAAATGATGAGTCAATAAGCACAAGTTGCGCAATTTACGCATACTGCATTGGCACATTGTCGCACAAGAGGCCGAAACTTGCTGGGTGCTGCGAGCTCTGCGTTTGCTCACCTTGCAGCACCTTTGTGGACTGATGCTAAGGCTCGACACCTTTGCTTGTAAAGGGCAACCCCCCAAGTACGTTGCGCCCTAGCGGCAAATCCCCAAAATGGAGTGATGCGTTTCCAAGCATGGGAACAACAAGGCGTCCCTCCAATCAATCGACAGTCCTCTCGCCAAAAAAGGAAGCCCCAAAGATCTCTGTCGGGATGAATTTGGCAGACTGTCTGCTCCACTGCACAGCCAGACCAAGTCGTCCGGAAATGCATGCTGAATCGGCCCAAATGTCATTCCGAGCTTCGCTCGACGTTTCTCGGTCTCGCATCCTGAAACGGCCAGCCGGTGGACAGTAAGAGTCCAATCGCCCGCCCGGCTGAACCATGGGATGCCGTGATGGCTCAAGTCCAAGAGTTTGCTTCAAAAAGCGACTCCGAAGCGCTCTGCTTGTTTGCAACAAAGTCACATTCGATAGCTAGTCTTGCTGTTGCTGCACTGGTTGACCTTCCAAGGCCCCAAGCAAAACACGAAGAGGGGAGTCTCTCTGAACTCTGAAATCTGTTGCGCAAGTCGAAGTCTGTTGACTCGGGAACACCGATCAAGCCCAGTTGGCGAACTAAGTACCTGGTTGCAACAACCATGGAAAAAAAGGAAGTTCACCAAACAAAACTAGTTTTCTCACCCCTTCCCGATCAGCTTCCGTTGGCGGTGTGACGCACAGGGCGGGGGAAGCATCAACGCCTTGCTGCTTGCTTCCGCCCGCATGCAAAGAGTGCGAGGAACCAGCGGAGCCAGCTCGAAGACTACCACGGAAAAGGCCTCCCCTGTTCTGCTGCAATGCGTGGGCTAATGGGATTTAAAAAATCAGGTTTTCTGGGGTGCAACATCCAATGATTGACTCAAAGCTCGTGTGTCGCATGCGGCAACGGGCGGGGTTGCATTGGCCTATTTAAGAAATCCGCGTCCCTTCTGCTTTGAACTGGCATCCAGCACTGAAAATTCCCATGTGTGTCTCCCAAATGTTCATGCGGAAGATGGATGCAGCCTGATACCTGATTGAAGTGTGCATTTCGTCAACTTGAGCAATGTTGTCCAGCTGAAGCCATGCTTTGAGCGACGCTTCTGGGCTTCTGACCGGCCGCTCAACCGATTCTTCAACGCAACGCTCGTGAAAGACTTTTGTCACTGACACTTTTGAGAGACGCTACAGAGAGCAACACTTCTGAGTACACTTACAACCAGAAATTCGAATTACCCTCCGAAGCGGCCTTTGATTGGCACATCTCGGCAATCTAAGCATCAAGAGACAATCCTGAACCGTACTTCTGAGCGACAAAATACGTCAAACTGAGCGACGCTTCTGCAAGCGACACTTCTGAGCAACACTCCTGAGCGACAATTCGAGCGAAAATTATACACTTCCATCTGGGCGACACTTTTGGGAGACACTCCTCTGCGCGACACTTCTGAGCGCCACTTTTACACACACATATCATCGAAACGTCTAAGCGACATTTCTACACGCACGTCAGGTAGAGACTTTCCGCAATTCCAGCAATGAGGTGCGACTGCCACACATTAATTGCAAGCTCGAGGTGAGAAGCACGTTCTGGGGAAGCTCTTTGCCAAACAATATGCTCTGCTTAGCATAGTCAGCATTCGTACCATCTGCCCGTCGTTCAAGCCCCCAGGCAAAAGGCATCATTGAGACTCAGCACAAAGTCTCCGGCCCAACATGGTCGCGTTACCATCACTTGAAAGCAGCCCATGCACAAAACGGCAATCGCAATCAGGTAGTCGAGAGAAGGGCAGGGCGACATCGAAGTGTAAACCACGGTGATGCAAGCAGGAACATGAAGAGCGGCATGTGTGGCACCTCGAGAAGGCAAAAAGCGGCGGGGACTGAAGCCTGAGGGCAGCAACCACGAAGGACCGAGGGGCGCCACCCCCGAACAACCGAAGGGCAAAGAACTGTAAGCCAGGAGGGCAGACCAAAAGGCGAGTCGGACAAACCCCCAGGCGCCCCCACCGCCTAAGCCGTCTAGGCAGTTTGAGCCCTAACAGCTTCGGAAACCTCCCATTTGCTGGTTCGTTTGCTCATCCCCAAAAACAAAAAACGTCATCTGTCTTCAAATAGGGTTTTGGCTTGGACATTGGCTAAATGTGGCTAGACAGTTCTGGCTCAAGCAAGACTCACGCCAGTATTCTTGAGCAACGCCATTCGGCTGCAGCTTTGACTGAAGCAATGCTCATCTCATTACATTTCATTCATGACAAGTTTCAGAGACTATTCTCTCCACTAGGCACTTGCCACATGACACTTCAGCAGCACCTTGCCCGAAACATTTGCGGGCTTGTTCCAAATCGGGTCCTGGATGCCTGTCCGAAATCCGCGGTGGGCAAGGGAAAGCGCCACCAGGATTGACTTTGAACAACGCAGGCCGCTCCTAAAACTGGACTCACCCTAAAAGATCCCGTTGCGATGTGTGACCAGAGAAACACTCCTTAGAGACAACCAATGCCAGAATCACACCGTGAGTCCAGTTTCAACCAAAATGCGCTTGCCATCCCAGCATTGTTGTGAGTAAACACGTTGCACAACTTGCGACATCTTGGATGACTCCTCAGAATGGCCCGGCTTGCTCGGCCTTTCCATTTCGCACTTATGGTCGGCGTGCGACCTGGCTGAAAGAAGCCAAGCCCTCTGGCGGCTTGGCGGGAACAACTTCAGTGAAGCCGCTTAAAAGAAGCCCGCTGGTTTGGAAAAAGGATAACACACTTGTTATACTGGACATTGTCAAGCCAGGCTTTCCCTGAAGCAGCTCTCCGGGGGGCAACATCGATAGCGCGCTAGCCTGATAGTTGACCAAGACTTGCGCAGATCGGCTGCTGCCAAAGAAATGAACTGATGTTTGCAACTATTTTCTCTGAAGGGTTGGAGTTTGCCCCCGAGCTTGCGCTGGGTGTAGCAAAAGTTCCAACCCACTGGCCGGCTCAAAGATCAATCAGAACCTGCGTGCCTGGCATCTGCTTCAGGCAGTGCCAAGCCGCAGTCTGAGACATTGAATGAAGGTCTAAGTGAACTAAGTTAAGTTTCTTGGTGCGCAAGCCTATCCCAAGCAAGCGGCATGCCTGAGCCAAGGACATGCAGCTTCCCCCGTCAAACACAAGGGGCGGCAACCTGGAGATCCCTTTGGCTCGGGAGAGGTAGTCCACCAAATTGCTCTCCAGCCCGTGGTGGGCGGCTGGTTGTACGCCCCTCATCTCTCCCGTCACCATGAGCTTCTTGGTCCGAACCCAGCAGTCTGCACACGCCTGCTCGTTCACGAAGTTAACGATTGCCAGCGAGGACCAAGGGAGGTGAACGAAGTTGTATGGGCAATTCTTGGAGAAGTCATACCCATACAACGCATTGAACTGTCCAAGGAACTCCTGCTGTGTCATTTTGCGGCCAAGCTTGAACATGAGAGATGTGCACGAAGGCGGCAAGGCTGCATTCTTGGAGGACATGACCGATATTGACGCTTTTCTGTCAGCTCAGGCTAGTCCGAGGAACAAAAGCGGCGCTGGCAGTCAGACACTTTCAAGCCAGTGCTCTCAAAAAAGCTTCCTTGAAACTCCTGCACACATGTGGGGATCCCTTGCCTTGGATGTCCGCTGAAATTAGTCTTTCTCGCCAAGGATGCTTTTACAAGGGGAGTTGAGGG